ATCGACAGGCGATGTAGGCGACGGCGGAACATGAAGGTTCTATATAAGACTGGCACGACTGCCATTAGATAGGAGCTTCGTGCTCAACTTAGTTATCAATCTTATCATATTAGTTTGACATCTTTGATACAAGTAACGAGTTCACTTCCAAGTGAACAACCCGATAGTCTTCTTCTTATCATAGCATACCAACCAGCGAACACCCAGCCAAGTTTAGTTAGCCAGTTTGAGTATTCGTTACACTTATAATACTTTTAAGACTTTATTTATAAAGCTATTTATACTATAAATAAGCTAAAATTACTTAATAACTTTACTATTATAAAATACTAGAATATTAACATACTACCTTAACTATCTTCTAAAAATATACTATAGATACTAGAGATAGTAAAGTACTTAACGTGGTTTATCAGCGAGTCGATCATATCAGCGAGTCGATCACTTTTCCTTGGCACTACCTCCTCAAACTTCAACACACGTTTTCTTCAACTATTTACCATGGAAATTCAAACTCAAGAAGCGCGAATTACTCTAGCTATCGAGGCTATTCGGTCGTCCAAAAAACTAAGCAAACGCTCTGCGGCAAAGATCTACAATGTACCATATACGACTCTTTCCGACAGAATGGCTGGCCGAACCTACCGCCCAGATTCTCAAGCCAATTGTCATAAGTTGACTGAGTTAGAAGAGGAAGTGATTATTCGGTATATACTGGATATGGATTCCAGAGGATTTGCGCCCCGGCTCGCTGGTGTAGAAGATATGGCTAATTTTATCCTTGAATCGCGGGGGGGGGAAGACGCGTCGGCAAGCTCTGGGCCCATCGATTCGTACAACGACAACCAGACCTTAAGACGCGTTTTAATCGCGTTTACGACTTCCAGAGGGCCTTATGCGAAGATCCTGACGTGCTAGGCGCATGGTTCCGGCTAGTAGAGAATATGAGGGCGAAATATGGGGTTACAGACTCCGACTTCTACAACTTCGACGAGACAGGCTTTATGATGGGTGTTATTTGTCCTAGAATGGTTGTTACTCGTGCAGACCGACGTGGTAGAGGCAAGGCAGTTCAGCCAGGCAATCGGGAATGGGCTACAGCAATTGCCTGTATTAATGGGGAGGGCTGGAGTATTCCTCCATTCTTGGTAGTTCAGGGCAAGAACCATCTCTCCAACTGGTATACCGACGGCGGCCTCCCACCTAACTGGGTTATGAAACCGACAAGCAATGGTTGGACAAATAATGAAACAGGCCTGGAATGGTTAAAGCACTTTGATAAACACACTACAGCTCGTGCAAAGGGTCTGTATCGAATACTAGTTTTGGATGGGCACGAGAGTCATGAATCGGCTGAGTTCCAAGACTACTGTACGAAACACAACATTATTACTCTTGGACTACCTCCTCATTCATCCCATCTAACCCAGCCACTTGATGTTGGGTGCTATAGTGTGTTAAAACGAGCGTATGGTCGGCAGATTGAGACGTTTATCAAGGCCCATATCAACCATATTACAAAGGTTGAGTTCTTTCTAGCCTTTACAGCAGCATACAAGGAAACAATGACAGTCCTAAACTGTCAGTCTGGATTCCGCGGAGCTGGCCTAGTACCATTTAACCCGCAAGCAGTGCTTTCAAAGCTTGACGTAAGGTTACGGACTCCAACTCCCCCTCGGACGTGTAGTGCCAACTCCCTCCCCTGGGTGTCCCAGACCCCTTCCAACCCAACTGAAGCCCTTTCACAATCAACTCTTGTACGAAATCGTATAGCCTGTCATCAAGGAAGCTCGCCAACTCCACTTTTTCAAACAGTTGCTGCGTTAGCAAAGGGTACAGAGCGAATGGCACATGAGATGACCCTTTTGTCTGCTGAGGTCCGTACCCTTCGCGCTGCAAATGAAGCCCTAAGTAAACGCCGTAGGGCTAAAAAGACTCGTGTCCGCCAAGGAGGGGCACTTATAGTAGAGGATGTACAGGATATGTTAGCTCAGGAGGATGTAGATGAGCAAGTACGACGCGACATGCGTGAGGCGGGGGTTGGTTATAAGGAGGGGCAACCTTCTAGGCGGCGCTGTAGAACTTGTGGAAAAGCTGGTCATAACGCGCGAACTTGTCAAGAAGTTATAGATATATCTAGTTCGTCAGATATAGAGAGCGATAATTAATTTAATATATTGTGGTTGATTTATTTAGGTGTAAAGTTCTGTGCCAAGAAAAAGTGATCGACTCGGTGATATGATCGACTCGCTGATAAACCACGTTATTAGTTATAGTTTATTACTTGTTGGTTGTTAGTTATAGATTAGTGGCCCTATCCGATCAAGTCCGTTCCGTAGGCCATACAGATTTGCTCGTCCTCGGCCACCAGCGGATGGCATCATTATGAATGATGGCGAGGAAGAAGAAGCCGCTTAGAACAACTGTCTCTGTATTACACTCCGAACAAGCTGACATCCGATATTTTAATGTTGAAAGAAAAAGAGGAAGTGAGAGAAGTGAGAGAAGAAAAGGTGCCACTTGAAGGAAAGGGATCAGAAGCGAGTGTTGCTACGAGGCCACTGGCTCTCCCGATTTTCGCCTGGCCTAGGGTTAGGAAAATATAATTATATAATTTATAAGTGTTGGTACGACCTGGTGGTCGTGACGACGGCGAATACGGGATTCAGGTCACCTTCTCTTTGGAGGTAACTAAATCGGTGTATTCATTTGTTCGTGAAGAGTAAAGGTAGAGAGATGTGGTGCTCTACGAGCTTAAGTATGTGAGTGGCAAGCCACTCACATGACACCAAGCATGTAGAACCACCAAGCTCTCGTACGAGGTGCTAATCACCATAATTATATACCGACAATAAGTAATCAGCTTTTACGTTATATAATACTACTTTTTTAGTTATTATTTAGTACTGAAAATAGGGTCAAAAAACCTCGATTTTCTACTAATTTTAGATAGAAAAAGGCTATATTTTACCTTTTATTCGTTGTCTAAATCTACCAAATCCGTCCTACGCTCCTCGCGTATAACTAAGCTCTCTTCCAGTGTAAGAAGGATATTATTAAAATTAGCTTCTAATTGCGTTATGTCTCTAGAAATCAGGTTAAAAATCCTAAGATGTTAAGGCTCAAAGGTACTAATGTTACTATATACTATTAGTCTAAGTCGGTTAAAAGTGGGGCGATTCTTGACTCTCCCCTATATACAGAGCCTTAGCATAATAATAATAATAATAATCAGCTTTTTTATATAATAATGGATATAATATAATCAGGTCCTAGATTATATAATTATATCATCCCTAGCCTGGTCAACAGGCCCACTGACTATTGATGGGGCGTCTCAGATTGAAGAATCCCCCCAGAAACCTTTTTCGTATGGAGAAGCGGAAAAGAAGGGACCCCCACGTAGTAGCTTCAACACTCAAATGCCTCCAGCGATTGAGCATGCTTCAAAAGTACTTGAAACTGTCGAAGCGACACTATCAAATGAGACAAGTGGAGGCAGAATGTTCCGTTGTATGAGTATATCGTAACAGAAAGGTTATACCGAGGGAGACTCTGCCAGAGAAGACTTGCATCGAACCCCAATACACGCTGGCAGTTCGAGAAGTCCCGTTCCCGATGCCGAATTCAATATGGAGGACTATGAGAGAAGTAATGAAAAGGATGTTCGAGAAAAGCATCATCTGGCGGGGGTTCTCAGTAAATTCGCAGAACTGACGGAGAATGTTTTGAGGGCTTTCGTTCCTATCGGTTGTGTCTCCATGGTGGCTGAGAAGTATCATGCAACAGTGGACGCTATAATCAAGGTAGGTTCAAAAATGAACTTCAGCTGTTCACTACTGACTCTATGTGATTTTATCGAGGCTCTGAACCAAGCCCATTCTCAAAATGAAACCGGTAGATATCCTGGCGAGGTCGTCTGGATCTTGGAGGATTTAGCTCCTTGGAAACAAAGGAGATATAACATACAACCTTTGGTTGTCACCGTCAAAGAATGCGTCGATTGTCAGAACCATGCCGGTTTCGCCAGCAAAGCTCTGGCACTACGACATTTAACCACACGTCACTTTCCCGACAATAGAGAACCATCATCTCAAGAAGCTATTCAAATGATTAGGCAAAAAGGACACGAGCACCAGCGCAGAATGAGCATCAAAATCTTCGAAGCTTGCAATGATATAATTTTTGTACTTTACAAGAAGATATTAATGATTGGGCATGGTGTTCGCACCTCAGATGGCACGCATAATCCTCGCTTTCGACTTTCCCTATCGCTTGTTAACACCTTTGAAACGACTTTGAGGTTTTTACTCCATATTTTGGTATACATTGACCGTCTGACTTTCTCCCATACTTTTTAAAGTCCGAGGAACTCAACAACAAAGCTCATTCTTTTTTGCTTTCACAAAAGGTCTGTTTGGATGATATTCTCAAGCGTGCCAAGGAAGATCTTTTAGCTATAACCCGAGGAGATAATGAGAATCTCTTCCAGAGAAGCCAGGTGGTGGGGCCACAGTATGTACCAACCATTTGATTGCCCCATCCCAAGGATCAGAAGAATGTTTAGATATTTGGCTCCCATAATCCCCCCACAGCGTCCTGAATTCAATCTCCCAAATCCGAACTATTTCCCAATGGATTCTAAAGGGTATTTCCTGATCTCTTGTACAGGTACATCATGGCACAATTCTTTCTAATTTGCATGCTGGCATTGGTCATCCAGATCTTACCAAAATCTACAAAGAACAAATAGAAGCATTAGTATTCCTCCCCACACTCCCCATCGGGCCACACCTCCTTTGCTTTGTTAGTAAGCTAACATACGGCAAGTCCTTAGAATCGATTAGACATCCACGAAGACGACTCATTCGGTCGTATTTATATCTTCAAGAGGAAATCCTAGTGCTCGAAAAAATCATGAAACGTCAAAATTGGAACGCAAGAGAGTTTCAAGAAGTCCTCGCTTCAAACAGCTACCGAGTCACCCATCAACGACGTTTCACACTCAACGTACTAGAGTCCAAAGTCTTATATAGATTACAAGAGGAGAAAGAATCCAGTAGGACGAAGTTGGAACAACTGAATGATGAAATCGATCGTTTGATCAGACAGACTTTGACAAGTTTGGAAATCAAAGACGACGATCATGGAAAGGCAATCCTTGTATTTACTATTGTAACGCTGGTGTTCTTGCCATTAAGTTTTGTGTCGAGTTTCTTTGGTATGAACACAGTTGATATCAGGAACCAATCTGCTAGTCAATGGATATTCTGGGCTGTGGCAGTTCCAGTCACAGCAGCAGTAATGACAATTGCGTTGCTTCTTGGGTACAACTTGGAGCGAATACAGAATTGGTTTGAGAGAACAATGGGAAAAGTGAAAAGTCACTGAAGCTTGCAAGGGTTGCAGATTTTGAACAGACGTTGATATGAGCACATTATCTTTAACTTCTTTATCCTGGTACAATTGATCTTGGCTTAGTTCCTTTTCGCTTCCATTACAAACAGATCTTGCTATGACTGTTGGATGGTTGATCGTTTTTGAGTTATTTTGTCAGAAAAAAAGGGGGATTTATGAGGTTACAAAAGGTGAGCCTTTTTGGATCTCCTTGCGACCTTGCTACGGGAGGACCGCCTTGATAGTCGCCTCTTAATATTGTCGTAAGAGTAAGTAGGAGGTGGTTTGTAAGGCGTGTTTCCCTTCGCGGCCGGAGGCATAGGCTTTGGGACCGGTAGTGGTTCATAGTAAGAATAAGTAGGAGGTGGTTTATAGGGTTTCTGCCACTCTGGAATTGGTTTCGGGGCGGCTGCTTGAGGTGGTTCCGGCTTGGTCTTGGTTTTCTTCCCCTTCCCGAAGACCTTGCGAAAGACCGCTTTGGTCGGTGTGAGAGGGTTGAAAAGCCGGCGCTCGTGCTGAGGCGAGTTGACTGACCGGCGATGAGGGGCTTTTGGCCAGTCTGGCCTATGGGTTGACCGCTGTGAGAGTTGAACTTCGGGTGTTGCATCCTTGGTTGCTGCAAGAGGGATTGCAACAACCGAATGCAAAAGAATAGCACCAATGGCAAAGATTTGGGAAATCAACATGGTGAAGGCGTAAAATTGAAAGAGAAAAAAGGTTGGCGATAAGACAATTGAAAGAGAAAAAAGGTTGGTGATAAGACAATTGAAACGAATGTATGGCAAGGGAAAAGAAAGATCCCGAACCAGGAAAAAAAAGACGGGATTAAAAGAGGGTGGTATTCAAACAAAGAGCGAGGCAACCTTCTTATACTCTGGAGACATATTTAGTACCAGCCCGATCCACTCTTTCCGACGCCCAAGTCTCATCCGATAAAGGTCTTGTAAGATCTTCCGGCATCGAAGCTTGGTTCTCTTGGTTTTCATCCTCCAAAGATTCACTTGAAGGGAAGTTCCATTCCAATCACGGGGCAGCCGCCTTTCTACCACTGTAAATTTACTTGAATACTTCGTAAACCGTCTTAAAGGAAATGCTCGGGGGCAGGAAGGGGTGTGGTGGATAAATTTATTTCTTATATGCTCCAGCGGGTCCCCAAAGAGGAACTTCCGAGATACGAGTACGAAGTAGAAGTACTGTTTATCGTAATCTTCTACGCATAAGAAATAGGGCCTCTAGCGAGTAGGAGTTTTTAGTTCACACTGTTCCGTACTTTTTCGCACTTCACCCTCACACCCCAGCATTTACTCGAGGACGATTCATCACGGTATTGGCTACATGAAAGTAGGTTGCACCTGTCAGCGGACTTATGCATGATCGTTGTTACAGCCTTGCCCGCTTGGAAAAATCTTTTGTGCCAATGCTTTAGTGGATACTTGACCCATAAATCGCAACTATTTTTACTAGCACACATAAATAGCTATAACACCATACCAACGATCCGTTGAGGGCGATATCTACACGTGATCACTACGATCACGGTTCGGGGTGTGCGACCAGATCTATGTTACCTGATTACCATACAACACTTTGGGGAACAAAACGTGGTGGAATAATAGGAATAGATGAAAGAGACCGTGAGAGTAGCCGCATAGAGAGATGTGGAAGACCACTATCGAGTTGGCATATCAGAACGAGGAGATTAGGAGAAGTCGTCCGTTTCCTTATCTCACCTTTTCAACTCAGATCAAGGTTAAGGTTCTTCAAGGATTATCACGTGATAGATATGAAAAGTGACAAATCTGCTTTATCAGGGTAATTAGTTAGGAGGCGATGCTACAGTTGCTTTTTATACTTCTTACAAGTATCACTTGTATACTATAGGTTGCATAATCGTGATTTACAAACTTTGTAGCATATACAAAGATTATGTGAAGAGAGAACTGTCCAGATCTCATGCAGAATCCACTAATCTGGGGTTACATAAGGTCCGTATCTATCGAAATTTGAAAAACAGGTAAGCCATAAAGACATCACTGCTACATAAAACAGCACTGAATACCATATATTTGGCACACAAAAAAACCCCCTGGAAGAGGTGCTACAACTGGGTAGGTGTTGTTTGTGGAAAAGAACTTGCCGAGAACGAGTATTTTATTTAGGAACATAGTATCAACGTCAAAATAGTTACAGACGGCATATAAATTATGTTCTGTAACAGGATAGAATGAGTACTAACGATATAAGATGTCCAAAGGCATTTGTATACACTCTACAAAAACAAGAAAACAACGCTCGCTTATTATAATCGAAGACCAAAAAGAAAAGGGAATAACCAAAAGAAGAGGTATAATTTATTACTCCAAGAATACGGCAATGGCCATCGCGTATTCTGGGACATATCTCTGTAGCATATATAACAATACATTTTTGGGAAACCAATATTTCGTTAAACCCCAACGAATCAGAAGGATAGATTAAATTTGAAACGTCTACAGAGTGTCATTGCTCAGACTCTCATCGTGTATGTTTTGTACATCACGTCAATTGTTCACAAAACCTGGTAGGAACTTATGCAGATAAAGTCTGGTTTCGTGATGGCATTTCATTTTCCAAATCCTCTGGACTTGGCTATGACCTTCACACACAGGTCTTGCCTTCATCTTTTTTGTTTCGTTTTTACATGCCTCGGTCATTGGAGGGGGTGTATCGTTGACGTATCTCTGCTTTTCTATTTTGTGCTTGAGCTTTCAGGCAATGTGGAAATGGTGTTGTGTCGAGGCGTCTGAAGTCTGGTCTGGGACATTCTTTTGGTGTTTATGAGTTTGAATTTGGTTCTTGTGGTATTTCGGATATTTGTGTTTGGCTTTGGTACTGGTTTTAGTTTTGCTAGAGAGTGGAGCTTAAGCAGTTTGCGATGTAGTTACTCTTTGTAAATGGCATTGTGCCGTATCCGCGAGTAGTGTGATTACAACCAGAACCAACACACCACCAAATACCGTCATTTCTTAGCAAGCATCTAACAATATATTGCGATGTGGGTATCTAACAATCTATTCTTCCTTCCCCTCCGCAAACCTCGCTTTATTCTCCAGCATCATCTTCCTATACCCCTCGACAACACTCTTCCTAACCTCACCAAGCTCCTCCCTCCTCCGCAAACTCCCACTAGCCTTGGGCACGTTCTCAACTTCCACCCTCGCGCCTCTCACCTTAAATTTCTCCTTGGGAGTATGTTTAAAAGTCGGCGGCGCCTGCACAACATCATTAAGTCCCACCTTCCCCTCGCCTCTATCCCGCTTAAGTTTCGCCCAGGGGTCTCCCTCGAAATCCTCTACCTCACCTACGAGCTTGTTCTTCTTATTCTTGCCCTTCTTTTTCTTCTTCCCAGAGCTAGATGGGTCAAGATCTTTCCAAACGACCTGTCCGTTCTCGTCTTCGGATTGCATTTCTTCCATATCTCTAGCATCCATCCTCTTGTCCTGGATTTTGCGCTCCTCCTCGCGCCATTGATCGTAGAGTTTATGCATTTTCTTCTCCTTGTATGTTCTCCCAACCTTCAGACCCAGGGGATCCTTCCCGTTCTTCGCGGTTTTATTCATCAAGCCACTAACCGGGAGTGCAGCATCGACTCTAGCAGAAAACTCAGACATCTTCTCGCCAGGTTTAATCGTAGGCATAGCAGCTTTCTCTTTCTCCTCAGACTTTCCCTCCTTCCTCGTTGCTTCTTTTTCATCCTTCTCGTCCGCGTTATTATTATTCTTCTTCGCCTTCTTCGTCCGCACCCCATCATCCAATCCTTTCGGCAACTTCTTCCCCTGGTGGAACATCATGAGCCGCTGGAAAGCCTTCGGCGTATCATCGTTTATATCTGGGTTATGTTTCCTCTTTTTGTTGTTCTTGCGCGTCGTATTTAGCTCTGAGGTGAAGATGCCATTCTCTTTCGCGGATTTAGAGACCGAGAGGGGCTTTGCGATTGTGGTTGGGGGGAGGTCGACACTGTTCCGGAGGGATTAGGAGATGTCGAGGAAGGGGGGAAAGGCGACTTACGTTGACTTATCGACTTCCCCTTTGCGGGTGTGTTTATGTGGCATTTGGAGGTTGTGCTTGTGGCGGGAATGGATGCTTTGCGATCGAGATAACTTGGGGTCGTGTTTTTTTCTGCCGGTGTGGGGACTTGACGGTGAACGGAAGCCGATGTTTTTCCTCGATACCTACGGAGGTACTGAACTCCTCGAGATCCACTAACCTCATTTGGACTTATACAGTAGTAAAGACTGGAGGCCCATGGCTTAGTGAAAAGTTCTTCTATTCAGCCAAAAAGGAGAAGCTTCAGATTTATGCATAAACTTTCTCTCCGAAAAGCATGCCAGTCATCTACAGTTTTAGCCAACCTTTTGTCATGTCAGCTGCCCTCTCCTTCATCATTACCTGCCTACCCACCCAGGCATTTCATCCAAATCTCTTCCTGTTCTGCTCGTCTACTACAAATCATAACAATACCAGAATCTCTCTCTCATATGCTAGGTAGCTAGTAGGCAGCTATTGACAGGGTTATTCATGCCACGCCCTCAGCTCCATTCTATTTTACCAGACTTAGTAGAAATACTCCTCACCTTCAGTACCTACCATACTTTACTAGATAAGTCTTGAAATACAAAGTATTTACGTGCACACATCTCTTCCCAGTGAATCCAACCACCACCCCACCACACAGATCTAACCCGCAATAAGCAGTCAACCAGCATTCACCAATTATACACCTGTTGGTGGTACCCTAGGTAACTGCAATGGCTTAGTGGTCCGGAAAGCCCAAAGGTTACTGTATTAGGCTTGTAAAAAAAATAGTACTTATAAGCCAATTAATAAATAATATAAAACTCAGTACGTCTGGTTTTAGGTCCGCTGCGCTCCGTATATCAGGAGTAGGATTTTTTTGGCTTTTTTTTGACTATTTTTTTGGGGGAGAGGAGAGGGGGTTTTGAGGACACTGGTTGGTGTTTTGAGGGTTGATAATGTGAGGGTACAAAAGAGTGAATTATAGCGAGCTTGGTGAATCCTTTTAAGGAGAATGAAAGGCAGTCGTTGCTACCTGTTTCATTGGCAGAGACGGGAAGTGAAGGTTGGGTTTTGATATTGCTTTTGATATAACAGAAGAGACTTTTTTTGAAAGTCAATTACTGATGTGCCTAAGGTTGATTGCATGTGGTGCATATACTGTAGTTTCTAGAAATCCTTCGCTTACGATTGAAAGGAAGGAAGTATGTCGTTGCAAGCGACCTGAGAACTCAGCCATCAAAGGATGCGGCCCCCACTACCAAGAGCTATCAAGCTGGCCAAGAATAGGAGAAATGCGGGGGTGAGGGGAGGAGAGCAAGCCATGTCGCAGGGCATCACTAGGGGCATGTAGGAGTGGAGTCCATGCTTGTGAAGCTTGTGGAGCTCACTAGGTGCTTTTGATACATTTCATTTATTGTAGGTAGAAAACTAAGTCTAGAGCTGTTGTGGCCTCTCTTGATTCACAATGTACAATTTGAATAAATACATTATATATCTCGTTTAGACTTTCCCATTTGTCAGAGGACTGGGAAATCCTGTTTCAATTGGCAATGTTTCCAAAGATGCCCCACGTGGGTTGTCCCAGCCTGGGGTTTGGTTCTCGGTCCAATATTCAGCTCGAGCCCTGCGCCGCCATCACACCTCTTTACATTTCTGCCTGGAGAGTTCTCTTCAATCGAATTTTTCTCAACACTTTCTTGAATCTCACCAACTCAGTCATCACTTACGGGTCTTATAGGAGTGTGTCCGTGGAGAAAAACGCTTCTTTGGCATCATTGATTCTGCTGATACATCTCCGGTATCTCGACACCATAGAAACGGCACCGTACGTACACGTTGAGAGGATTCCACGCCTTGGACCCTTCACTCCAACACATTCCGACCCCAAATCCTGAATGAAACCATCAACTTATGAACCCAACCACCTGTCCCAACAAGATATCCTCTAAATATATGTTCACAGTACACGAATTTACAGACGTTGTGCTGAGAAGACCCTGCCAAGAGATTCGGATCTTATCCCTACCAACAAAAGTATGGACTCGCTCAACATGCAGGCACTGAACCACGACAGATATAACGATGCGACATCTGACATCTCAGGCCCTGCTTCTCCCACCGCAGAATCGTTTGGGGAGCCTCAACCATCTTACGATAGCGCAGAGGATTATCTAGACTCTGATCTTGAGGATGATCTTATTAAACCGACATCTGGCAGGAAGACATCGTGGTGGAGTTCGTCGCGAAGAAAGTACGGTGCGAAGAACAACGGCAGTGGTGCCGCCTTGTACTTGAATAGAAAGCGGAGAAGTTGCTGGTACAGCTTCTGTATTTTCGGTAGCATAAGTGGCTTGGGGATCGTGTAAGTCGTCGCCCTCTCTCTCTCCTTATACAAACGGCGACTGACATCATGAATGCAGTGCAATTCTTCTCTTCGTAAATCTTGCACTCGGTGCTATAACACTATACTGGTACGTGGACGTCGACAAGACACTACAATATTGGGGACAACCTGGATCGGGGACGGAAGGGATGTCATGGTATCCAACCGATTTCACACGAGACATCGTACCTATACCATGCCATTCGCATAACGATTACTGGCGAAAGGTGCCATTATTTTCAGCTCTGCGAGCCGGATTTACTGGCGTCGAAGCAGATGTCTGGCTCTTTGATGACGATTTATACGTAGGCCATAATACCGCATCATTGACACGAAATCGAACCTTTCAATCTTTATATATTGATCCCCTAGTCAAGGTTTTGGAACGTCAAAATCCGAAAACGGATTTTTATAACGGAACGGAACATGGAGTCTTTGATACAGATTCGGAAAAGTCCTTGGTTTTGTTGGTGGATGTCAAGACTGCTGGTCCTGAGACTTGGCCATGGGTTCTCAAGCAGCTGGAACCGCTGAGAAAAAGGGGCTGGTTATCTTTTGTTGAGGACAACATCCTGCATACTCGCCCTGTTACCGTCGTTGGAACTGGTAACACACCCTTTGATGTGCTTACTGCCAACTCGACATATCGAGATGCATTCTTCGATGCGCCACTTTCCACAATGCATGCGAATGATGGGCAAGAGGCTAAGCCATCGGGGTCAGAAGCCCTAAAGGATGCAGGCCAAGGGTTATCAGGGGTTACAGCAGATTCGGAATTCAACGAATTGAATTCGTATTATGCATCTGTATCGTTTGGATCAGCCGTTGGGCGGATTTGGGGATCGAAACTGAGCCCCAAGCAGATGGAAGTTATCAGAGGTCAGATCAAAGGTGCACATAGCAGAGGACTGAAAGTAAGATATTGGGATCTTCCAAGTTGGCCTGTCAGCCTTCGAAACTACGTTTGGGGTGTTTTGGTAGAAGAGGGAGTTGACATGTTGAATGTTGATGATTTGAGGGCAGCTAGCAAGTTGTCTTGGTAACTTTGGCTCTGGGAAGGAAGAAACTGGGGATTTGGAGTATATACGTGGCTTGGGAACTCTCTTCTGCATTGGATGGAAAGGCGTTTTGGGGGATTTACGCCACTGGCTTAAGGCTATGCATGCATTATAGGAGTTCATAGATCATTGGATAGGTTTGAATTGGGTTTCTACCGAATTGGGTTTCTACCATGGAGCTGTGAATAGCTAGGTGTAGGTCACCTATTGAACAGTATGACGTATATTTACTACAATTCAAACACTCCGTATTGTCCCGTATCCCATGCTAGGTAGTGAATGTTGGATTGCACATACAGGCACCTCCGGCTGGCAGGCGCAACCCAATCATGTGACATCTCAGGCCACGCCCCGATCCCCGAGGCCAGGCCGACATAACCCCCACTTCAATTCCGCGCTGCGTCAAGCCACCCCGCCAAAAGATCTTCCGCAATCTCCTCTACAAAAAATTCACGATCTCGACAACTTGCTCCTGACAACCACCGCAACTCTCATCCTTGCGCGCTACTCGATACAAAAAACAGAAACACACATTTCGTCATTCGAGGATGATAGCAACTTCGTTTACGCGATGGCGAATTCTGGAGAAGATCTGATCACTTGGGTCTTGCGTACCATTGCATCGACAGGCGACGAAGGTCAGTTTTCGCGAACCCGTACCTCCCAATTCATGTTCCCCGCGGGTCAATACTCAAGCTTCTATTTGACGGAATTGGTCTTGATGGGGCGTCCGCAAGAAATGCGGTTGAACACTCATCTGGCGGAGTGGTCGAGTCACCTTCAATCAGAGCTCGACAGAGCTCCCCGCACTGGCCTGCAGCTTGGGAGGAGGGTTTATGTCACGCCCCTCATTCGTTCCACGAATAAATGTGGAGAAATATCGCTAACACATTCGCTAAACAGGAATTGCTATTGAGGACTTGTTTGAGCTTGTTACGAGTTGTGCCGATATCGATCATGATAGCAATGAAGTATGGCAAGAGCTTCTTCGTCGTCCCGAGGTCGTTGTTGAACCCGGCAAATCTGGAGAGAACTTGGGACAGTTGGTTTTGACGGATCTCCTCGCTTCTGATCATGGTCGAAGTATCATCAAGGCTCCTTTAGCTGTTCCACCTGCCCCTGATTTGGCTGCTCAACCACAAAAGAGCAAAAAGAAAGGTCGACCAAAGTTGCCAAGGGCCGCAGATGGATCAATCATCAGAAATCTCGGACTACCCAAACCTGCACTTATGACTTCCGGCGACATCTTACTCTCATCCCCAGCCGCCACAGCAACTGGACCCGGGCGCAGAGCTCGCAAACCACCACCATCTATTTACGAGGAAATTGGACATACCACCTTGGTTCCCGATTCAGTTCTCGTTGACAGACGTCCTTATAGCACAAGAAGACACGAAGCAGTGTACACGAGTTATGAAGAACTTCAACGTCAGGCCGGCGTCCCGGGCGTATATTTCGAAGAAAAGGTATCAGACGAAAGACGAAAGGGTATTAAGCAAAAGATCAAGGAGGCGAAAATCAGTAAGCATACAAATCACCAGCCCGCTTCGTCTCATGTTTTAGTCTTCAAATCAGGCAATTTAAAAGACCCACATTGGCTCGTTGCAAATACTGGAACTTGGGTGGAGCCGTTCTCTGCTGCAATTGCGGCCGCTACCCTGGAAGCCGAGAACGAGCAAGAACGTAAGAGACAAAAGAACAAAAGCACCGCTGTCAAAAACAATTCCTCGACTCAAAATGCGAAGAACTTTGGTGGAGCTGATGACCCTGGAACTGTCATAGACCCTTTACTTCTTGCCTCGGCCACATTGGGAGGTGATACACCAATGGGAGAAAGTGTTTCTGCTGGTAGCAATTTACCTTCCCCACAAGCCAAACCCTCAACGCCAAACGAGCAGCACGAACAGAGTCCTGGCACGCCGGGTGGCGTTGCAGTTCAGACCACCAATCTAGCCATGCTCAACGGGCCATATCAAAAACCAGTCACTGCAATTTCACATTCCATGCAACCCCCTGCATTGTCTACTCAGAAATCACTTGAGTCAACTATCATAGTCGATACAATTGTACAGCCAACTTCAGAGATCACCCCCAAGCCCAAGCGAAAATACGTCAAGAAGGCTCAGAAAGCCCAAATGGAAGCTCTGGCAAACACATCCACCACACCAAATAACGGGAAGACACGAGGACGAAAGAGCGACGCAGCCGTCGGTCAACTTTCAATTGGAGAATCCAGCACACCCTCGGGACAGAAGCAACGTACAACCACAGATATACAGACGGGTCCTAGTCACCAAAACGACTCACTGCACGAGGGTTCAACTCTAATGAGCTCTCTCCCATATTCTGCTTTGCCAGTCGACCGTCATCTTTCAGAGTCCTCAGACCATCAACCGCCATCGTACAGTACTCCTTATTATGGCCACGAACGTCCCCCATCAAATGGGACACCACTAGCTCAATTACCCGGAACCCTAACAACCAATCTCAATGATACTATCACAGATGAGATGATCTCTGGCTTAATTACAACTGCAAACTCCTACCAAGCTAATATGGTCCTAGGCGGGTATGAACAAGCATCAAGTGTAGCTCATTCTATAAATGAGTTTTCGGATACTCCTTTGGTTCAAACTTCAAGCACGTCCAATCGCTCTGCTTCCCCACTTGTAGGCCAAGGTCTCGATCCTACTTTCATCCCACAACAATCAAATGAAATGGCACAGCCAAAGAAAGGACGACCTAAGAAGGAAGTCGCCCAACTGCAACGCGCAATCGAAAATGCACTTGTTACCGCCCAAGACATTCCCGTCTCGAAAGAGGTTTACCGGCTCGCAGCGGTCTATGAAGGGGTAGTCGGAAACCTTGTCCTTTCCGTTGATAAAACCACGCTCCATTTCTACGGCTTGGACCAGTATCCACCACAACTTCCCCTCTTTGAGCTGCCAGTGCAGAGCGTGACTCAGAATCCGATTGCCTCGGCACAAGGCTCTTATCCGATGGAGCTTCTAATCTCCTCTCGCGGAAATACAGAGACTGGTGAAGTTGTCAGTCATCGATTTCAATTCGCTTCGACTCCTCAGGGCTCAGAAGCCGCGAAAGACATGCGTTCTAAACTGGTCCAAGCTCTTCTTGCCATCAAATTGAAAGCTGGGCTACCAGTGTTAGCAGCAGCTACTGTGGTATCGGAAGAAGTTCTTAAGCCCTGGTCCTGCGAAACATGTTCTAGGAGATTCAAGAATGATATAGGACTAAAATACCATGTCACAAAATCTCAAACCACATGCAATCCAAATTGGGATCCAGCTACCAACCCAGCAAAGAAACGAGGCAAACCTGCACTATCTGCGGCCGAAAAGGCTGCTAAAAAACGCCGAGATTCTTTTTCGGGGGACGAATCCTTTGAGTCTGATGGTCCAGTTTCAAAGCCTCGAGGTCCAAGTAAGGAAAAGCGATATGTCAACTTGCCACGCGAGAATGAGTTGTTGGATGCCATTGCATTGGAATATGCCGAGGTCATTCCGGTTTCTGGTGATTCTGCTTTGAATCTGACCAGTATGGATGACTTCCAGGACTTGGTGCTTGATATGGTTCGCAACAGTGGCGGTGTATTCCCAGCGGAGAAGTCGGTATGGATTGCAGGCGTAGGTGCCTGGCTCAAGCACGGCAAGAAACCAGACACATCGCTGCCAGAATCTAAATGTCTTCGGCAAGCCCTAGAGGATCTGGTATACGACAGAAAGCTTGTCAAAATATCATTCAACTTCCGTGACAGCTTTAGCAGGGGGGTTAAACGTAACATTCTTGCAGAACCTGAATTTGATCAGAAATCACCACTAGTCAACCAACTAAGAGATGCAATCAAAGGAGCACACCCCAACTTTTATGTCCCACCAGAATACTGTGCGCCTGATTCAGTCATGGAACGATTGCAAATAGCAGCACGCCGCATAGCTGGAAATGTTCCTGAAATTGATTACGACATTCTCAATGAGCTTGATGAGGATTTGGACCTAGCCGCAAAACACTCGGCTGATGATGATGAGTTTCGAGCTTTTGAAATGGAACACGGTGAACGTATCGATTCTGACGAATTTATGAGTGATGGAGATAACACAGAAGAGACCAGTAGAAAACAGCAACGTCTCATGGAATTGAAAGTAAACAAAAGTCGAGCATTGAAGAGAAAATGGCACGCTAGCAAATTGGCAGGCAGTAAGATACTCTCAAAGGTTGGTGATGGAAAAGGGAGTCCAAAACGCCGGAGAACGACTTACAAACCCCGAAAACCTTCAAAGAAGGACTCCACTTGGGATGCTACTCTAGCTTTCCTTCCTGACCCTCAAACCGGAGCCTGGGGATATTCGCTCCAGCAACCCAAGATCAAGGAATTTCGTTTTAGGCCCCAATATCGTCGACCTGAACCGATCACATTCATGCAGGCTCCTAATGGAAGTTGGTCCGAGAGACCTTTTGGCCATGGAGTCAATCCAAGCTTTGCGAGGCCAAACCGCCTGGCACAGAAGGATGATGTTCATGCTACAAAGGGTTATTACCAGCATCGAGTAGATAAGGGATTCCGACCGGTGGTGTTTCCTCCAAGCACATCAGAAGAATTCGTACCAGTGAGAAGATCGTCTACAACACCATCATTTGACCTTGAACACTCTGTCGAACTATCTTCTGATACCACTCCACGCAACAGTCGAAAACGAGGCGCGACGGAATCCGCCGAAGCGCTCTATTACCGCGAGAATGGGTTTCCAAAGCGGATGTCTAGAGCTACGGGTCTTCCTGTACGCCGCTACAAACCCAGATACTCAGGAGCTAGGCGCGGATCAACTGCTTCCCTTGATGAAGTTGATGACCTTAGCTTTACTCCTCTACCACCAACCCAGTCAAAGCGAAACACCCGAAATTCGGCAAGAGCAGCAGCAGCTGAAGGATTTACTCCCCCCGCCTTGGAAGAACTTGATCTTGACATTGATTTACTGCGACCTGAAAACCCTGGATTGAGATCGATGCCTGCAAAGTTCGGCCTAGATCGCTCATTTGCTGAAACCGAACTACAAAATAATGCAGATTATGATCCGAATTACAGCGAGATACAATGGGTTGAGCCACAGGCCACCTTTGAAGATTGTGATTTCAATGAAGGCTCATGGGTCCAAAAGTTAGAAGACACCGCACCCCTTGTGAATAACTGGAAAGTCAAATGGCGAAAGACTTCTACTTTGGATATGGAGTCCATTCCATACGAAGACCTCCGAGACGAACCCGAGGGTTACATAGGCATACCCCAACGCGGAGGGGCCAAACCTCAAGGACCGAATGGTACGCGGCTCACAAAGCCATATCAAAAGAAAGTACTTGATCCAAGATTCACAAAGAAGCGTAAAACGACAGCGAAGCCTTCTGATTTCGAGGGTCTTATCAAGGACATTTCCGAAGTGCCCAAAAAGTTTGGGGTTGAGTGCGCGCCAAAGGATCCGGTTTCTGGTAGACGTGAAGGTCGAAATATGGATGCAAGATTGCCCCCACGAATCGAACGACGTCTTGTTTCTGCGATCATAGCCGTGAAAACAATAACTGGTGGCATTCATAGCAAGATTGACTGGATTTTGCTCGTTCAACTTTTCCCCATGTACTCCACGGCCTACTTGACTAGGTTTTGGAAGAACATCTCTATAGTGTACGTCGATGCGATTGAGGAAGCTACTGAGAAGTTCCGAGAGTTGTTCCCCGAGGCTTACCGAAAGGGCGAGGTTCCGCCAATTGATTACGATCATCTTCTCAAATACGACTGGGAGGCTGTGATTAACTGGGTACTTACCACGATCAAGCCTGTTCTGAAAACTCACAACCTCTTCTTGCCTGGTACACTCGAGGAGGTCAACACTCAGATTAAGATTATTCCGTCCAAGAAGCCAATGACTGTAGAACGTGGTGGATATTTTGATCTCAATACTGCACTTTATAGGCGTCTTAAAGTTGCGTCTTCTAAGCCGGGAGTGATTTCTGTTGCCAAATCAAAGAAGTTGACAGAAGAAGAAGAGGATAACGAAGTTCTATTCATGCTTGCAAAATCCTGGGTCCGAGCCGTCGCAACAACGCCAGACCGACACTGGGATGCCACTGTTGCGGGTGAAAAGCTTATCGATCTTGGCAATAAATTGGTTGATCAAGCTATTGTTGCGTTGAAAGACGAGAAGATCATCAGGCACACGAAAAGAGGCCACGCAGCTCCAGGCCGAAATTATGAGGTCACAGATTTCTTCAACAAGAAACTTCAACGTCACATTCCACCTCAGCAATTTCTTGAGGCCATGGAGCACAAACGCTTCCTCGACGAGAAATTCTTAGAAAATCGGGATCAAGCAATTCGCATTGATTATCTGGCCAACGAAGGAACACTATTGTGCATCTCCACGCTCCAAGCCCACGGTCAGATTCGAACTAAGGATGAGAATATCAATTGTCACCACATGAAGGGTCTGAAAGAGGAAGACTTTTACTCTACGGAACGGATCCCGAAATCAAGACTCATCTTCCAAATGGACATCTATTTCACGCCCCTTTATACCCTCAACGATTCCATCCCGCTTCTCCAGAAAGCTATAACCCGCGACCCCGTTATGCGACCTCCCGCGGTCAAAGAAACAGGCGAGATCCCTCTCTGGCGGGACATCAACGACAAAACCAACACCGAGCTTTGGGCTCTGGTTCTCGTTGGATTATCACAGATGATTGCACTGCGATCCGGGATCGATGTCAAGGGCCTGAAGAAGGCTTTCGAACCTCTACTTGAGGAATGGGAGATTCGGGAGTTTTTGGAGTGGGGTGTACGCATGGGCATTTTCAGAAAACTGCATGAGCGTTTCGAGGGGTGGACTGTCATTCCAGAGTGGTGGATGATAGTTGGGGCGATGATGGAGGGCAAGGTTACGACAACGAGGAAGGAGAAGCCCAAGTTCACTAGGAAGAAGAGAAATGGCAAGGCAGTTGTGCAGGCGAATGAGATGGCGAAAGCCAAGCATGAGAAGGCAATCGCAAAGGACAGAGGGAAGGGGAAGGAGAAAGTTTAGACGGCAGGAGTTGAATGTACAAAACGGGGTTTTGGGGGGGTGGATTGTTTTGCTTTGATTTGGTGGGCGTTGGGAAAAAGGGGAGGCGAAATCTCGCTTGGGTGTACATTACTTGCAATGGGTGGTGTTCTCTGCTGCATTCATCTGGCGTTTACGGATCTTGTTCCTTTGAGATACCAGGACAGCTCATATCCTTTCTTTCGACCGAGGCGCTGGGTTTTAACCTGGTGGAGAAGCTTCTGTCGTCTTGTAAAATAGGATGGGGAAAAGATGCGTAGATAATGTAGAGTAGTACAATAGATCTCTTAGTATACTTCTTTGTATCTTATTTGTGTCTGTGACATAACACTAGTAGGACAGGCTTTTAGGTACTAGGAGATGAAATAATCACCACGGCAGCAATATATCTTTAGGGTCTTTTTGATGGGGACCTTATGAAGAGCATAACACAAATGTAATGGATAGAATAGGATAGGGATAATTCCGTGTAGCAGCGTTCGCTATCTCAAACTCGATTCTACGCAATTTTCAATTCTAATCTATCTCGGGATATTCCAGACCAATCAAGGATACATTACTTTTGACTACTATAATAAGAGAGTTTGAATCAAGGTGGGATAAGATTGTATATTACTTTTTCCTGGGCATAATAATAGTAACTTTTATGTAGTAAACTTTCTATTGGATTGGTTGGGTACAGCGGAACAACTTTGGGTGGAAATACTTGTACTCCAACTGGTTTTACAGGTCATGTGACGAATGCTAGTGGACTTCTGTATAACATGGTGCCACGTAGGATAGAATAGAATATTCCAGATAGAGGGTCTGGGATGGATTGGGATTCCTGTTGCCGAAGGCTGGGACTTGGGAGGTGGGGAGGGGGAGGGGTTGCTGTAGTAAGGTTTTATCCGTGATATCGGATGGGTGAAATAAATATTAGATTATGTGCCATAATTGTGTTTGTTTCCCGGGATCGTTAAATAGTGTGCTACTAGTTGGCTCTAGAGTATATAATGATTAAGTTTTTATAGTGGTAGTTAGGTCGAAAAGTTATCACATGATCACAAAACAACATACTACTATAAGGACTTAATTTTTAATTCATATTCTAAGGCCAACTAGCGTGTCCTGGATCGTTTGAAACGGTAACGGTTAGGGTATATTGGTATATATTATACCCTTCCCGGGTTCCCGGGAATCAAGGATTCTGTAGTAAATTAAGGGCCCTCTTGGGATCTTGTTAATGCCGCTGTTGAAAACTTTGATGAGCACTCGGAACCTGACGTTGTGAGGTGGGGACTCAGAGGACATGTAGTGTAGGCCAACCGAAATATTCCACTCGATAACCCTGATGGCTTCATCTGTAAAACCATCGTATGTGGATCTCAATGTCTCCCCATTTATTTGTATCGTGGTGATTGGCGTGATCTTGACGGTGAGAGGTACATGAAAGCCAAACCCCCCCGTGTTACAGTAAGGCCGGGAGGAGTGATTTGACTGTGGCCCCGTTGGGAAATCTTTGGATAGTCCGTTCTTCTCCACGTGAAAACCTTTCGATCACTACTTCTGAAACTGCGGGGAAGCGGTGCAAGAGGTGGGAGGTGGGAGATCCATCTACGTTTGGCGGATGTCGGTTTAGGTGCGGGAGTACATTTGGAAATGATGAACAAGCTAGAGGTTTGAACACTTGTATATCGAGAGCTTTTTGGGGATATCTTGGTTCCGGAGTTTGTGTTAATACCGTAGAGTGGAAACCTCAACTTGCACGAATTGGATTTTTACCTCCTTCAAAGCTTCCGATGCCACTATTATAGCATACTATTCGTACAGTTAATACAAACCGGTATCGACTTAATAGCAAATGGGAAATGGCAATTGGCAAGTCCCAAATTACAAAATGGGTTCTTTATTACGGACAAGTAGTACTGCTGCACCATGCTCTCACCTCACTTCGAATCAGACTTTTGTTATTCACTCGTACAGTCGTCAGTCTTACTGTCTACGTCCTCACCACTTGCATCTTCACCGTCACATTCTTAGTGTCGCGTAGGTGCTGCGGCATAGGGGGTCGCACCCACCACATACACCCAGAGAGAGAGAAGAGGAGCGGGGAATTAGTTTGGTTGAATGAGCCCTTGCTTATTCGCCCAGCCCCTAAACACTGCTTTTCGAAAGAGGCTAAGTAAGGCACGGGCCGGGGTCGCGCTATTAATTGTTCTCTACTTGTCCTCGCTTGCTCCCTCTTCTACGTTTAGTGCGTTCTGTCCTTTCTCATTGCCACAGTAACGTACTTCATAAGGAGTCCGGATTTATAAGCAGTCCGGATTTTTTACCCCACCATCCAACTTTTAAAAATCATAGAACTTTAATCACTTAATATTTATTTATATAAACTATACTATCTTTCTTATTCTCGATCTGGGCACCTAGGAGCAGTATGCGCTAGTGATCTACATATACTACAGGTTCGTGGTGCACGAATTCGTGGTTCAATTAGCGGGGCCACAGCTTCATCCAAAACCATATTATCACTATTTTGAATAAGTTCCCTCCCTTCCTGACCTGTAAGAACACCCCCAGTAGCAATATATTGACGTCGCACAGTCTTCTTCTTCTTTTGACGTTCAGATTCAGCTCGTAAACGTCGATTTTCCTCTGCCAAAACCGTAGCTGATTGCATAGCCATCTTACACCCTTTAACCAATTGATCTAATGCAATAGCAGTAGGGCTTGAGAGAACGTTTGTACGTCGTTTAATAGATGCTTTAATTGTCTGGGTTTGCTGATCTGCCTCATATGTATTATGGGGTGTCTCAGGGACCCAAGGTAGTAGGTTTGGAGAAAGTAAAGGAGGAGTAGGCGTATGTAATTGAGTATGTAATTTACTCAATACTTGATCTGGGTTGTACGGGACAAGGCCAGTAGTTGCGAATCCATTACAGATTGTGTTTTTGACCATAGTACTTGTACGGGCTACACGATATATTGAAAGGAAGTCTGGTTTATCGATATGATATGTGCCGGCTCGTACTAGCTCCTCGACTCCTCGTCCATAAAGTCGCTTTAAAACTGCAAAGCAACTAACATCTAATGGCTGTAAAAGATGAGATGAGTGCGGTGGCATACAAAGCGTTATGATGTTATGTTCTGAACAGAAAAGATCGAATTCGGGAGTAGAATGACTACCATGGCCATCGAGGATTAAAAGTCGATATACTCCTTTTACACGGTCCTTGGTATATTTCTCAAATACGTCTGAAAGCCACTTAAGACCTAAGGAATCATTGGTCCACCCTTTATCACTAAGTGCAATTGTCCAATCTGCTGGTAATTGATCTGTATACCAAGTCGATATATGCACCTTGCCCTCAAATATAACCATTGGAGGCAACACCCATCCATCTGCACAAATTGATTCGACAACTGTAACCCATTCGCGATTCCCTGGTTGTATATGAATAGCCCGTCCTGTATATTCTGACCCTGTAACAACTTTTGCGGTCGCAATTACTCCCATCTGAAAGCCAGTCTCGTCGAAATTGTATATATCCTCCGCTAGTATACCATATTTCGCAACAATATTATGTACTAATCGAAACCAATCTCGGATAATCATAGGATCCTCGCATTTTGCGCGCTTATAGTCGTATTTACGAGTGTATTTCGTCCGTAAAGAGTCGTGGCGCTTTATAAAGTTGTCAACCCAGCATTTTCCGACAATAATTCGACCTACTTCAGTTCGCTTTTCCAGTAGTAAATCGGCCATTTGGCGTATCGAATCTTTCCGTACTGGCAGACCTCTAGCTTCCATTGATAACATCCATTGTATAAGTGCTGATTCCTCGAGGTCGGTGAGTTTCTGGTTTCGGGGTCGGAAATCGCGTTGTGGAATAGCTCCCTTGACGCGGTCGTAAGTAGTAGAATATGGCGCATCGTACCTTGAACAAGCTGCTTTTAAGCTTGTAAATTGACCCTTATTGTATGCACTGATTGCAAGAGCAATTTGACCTTCGTTTCGAGACATTTGAACAATAATTGGGTAAGTTATGTAGATTGAAAGTGTGTAGGGTGGTCAATGGTGGGGTAAAAAATCCGGACTGCTTATAAATCCGGACTCCTTATGAAGTACGTTAAAGTTTAAGTGATTACTAATAGCTAAGGGCCAAGCCTCGCTTAAGAGTTAAGGATGTCCCTGGGCGTATTACAAAAGCTAATTAGAAGCTTTAGCGTCCTGGGAACGCGAACCTTACCCGTCTGTCATCTGATAGACTTTGATACCTCAACGGGCTTTTTCCTGTATGGTCAGGTTGCATGGATCTGTCACATGACTCGCCTCGGTACGTTCCCCTCGTCAGCTTGCTAAGCAGGATCCGGAATTTGTTTCTGGACCGACACTCCTTGTACGCCTATGACCGCGTTCTGTTGCTATTTCTCGCACCTGTATCCGGATATGTTTTGTATTAATTTAACGGGAGCTTTATGTGCGGGTTTACCTCCCGGTTACGTCATCTCTACTTCTGCACTTTTGGCATTACAATCCCCTACAGTAGTTAAGTGATAAATTCCAAAAAAGAACAAGTCTTTCTTAAAGCTTAGATAAAACTGCTAAGTGAACAGAAGCTCAACTAATGTTCGGTTCGTGCTTTCTCTGCTGTGTCGCTTGCGGTCGGCCAAAGCAATTATTAGGCGGAAGCAAGTCTCAGGTAGAAATGGCTTTTACACTATAAGAGTCATTTTTCAAGCTGTAATCTTCTATGTAGGCCCAAAAAGCTCTCATTTAGCTCTATGTCCTATCATCCTGCGATCAAAATGTGACCGTGGCGTGTTAAGAGATCATGGATAATTAAGGTGACGGTGTAAAGCACCAGGTTTTCTGAGGTGCAGCACGTGCGTCCCCTACAAAATATGCGCTTATATGTGACCGCACAAATTTGGTGGGTGTTTTCTACCCCACACTTGCTTCCGCCGACCTCAGGCGACAGCCATCCTAGAAAAGGGACGGACCGACTATCAAGTCTAGGTGGTCAGACCAGCCGGAATATTGCGCAGGCGCGCTATATACCACAGACTTCTTTCTAGAATCCCAGGTGAAAAAAATGTAAGTTTATTAGAGCGGATAAGGAGAGCAACAGGATAACAAACCCTGGAAATTTCACATTTATTTCGCCATTTCACCTGGGACGAACTGTTAGGATTCAAGGTGGATAACTCAAACGTCAAAATCCAAACTTACTCGGTTTCGCAAGTGTATTATTCGAATTGGACTCTTTGACCACTACAAAGTGGATGTGAGTGGGAAG